TTATTAAAGGTATACAACTAAAATTATATTTTTGACTACCTAGGTTATCTCGATTTATAAATGCTGGGCTTATTGAACATTGGTACGATAAATTGTTTGCAATTAACAAGGATCAGTTCGGTAATCACCATAATCAATGTTATTCATTAGAGTATAAAAATTTTGCATCCATATCATTTATTTACCTTCTTAGTATTTCCATATCATTTATAGTGATATTAATCGAGCTCATAGTATATAATGTATCAAGGTTATTTATTTGTTATAATTATTTTATTTTAAATAACTAAATTATTGTAAAAATATTAGTAATTTATTTTGTTATAATAAATATTTATTATATTTTTGAGACAGATAAATAATTTAAACTATAAGTTTAAAATTATAATAAATAAACCCCACAATTTCTAATGTAAATATAGTATATAAATTTAATATTATTAGTATTAATTATATTTAAAATCTATGATTTATTTGAGCAACTGAACAATAAATTGGCTGATCGCCGCCATATGTGATCCGGGTCATTATACTCGTATCCCTAGTAACCCATTCATTACGGCTATCGCTGCAATTAAATCTATTCCACACGAGTTGTATTGCGTTATTAGGGTGACCAGCAAAAAACTCCCAAAAATACTCTCGTTCAAATAAGTACACAATCGCGGCATCACCCTATCACCTCCGTATAAAGGTGGGTTCAAAGCCGTTAATTTTACTGGACGACCTAGATCACTTAGAGCCAGTGTATCAAATGATGAGCTTGTCAAATTAGGATTGTTTATTAAATCCAATTCTAGCGTATAGTTTGATGGATTGAATGTAAAAATATTTATTCCGATTCGCTGTAGACGTGTCATCGATAGCCGTAAAGATTGTAACCTGGGTAGTCCATAAAATGCGTACGGCTCAATCAGGGTCAGTTTATCTTGTAATTTCATATGTTTTAAATGTATCAACCCATGAAATGCGTTAACCGGAACAAAGCTAATATTACAATTACTCAAATATAAAATTTCGAGCATGGTGAAATTTTTAACAATTTCAAATATATCCACTCCATTTGGATTCACATTAGGTGTGTCCGTTAGTGAAAACCATTTGAGGGGGTGTCCACTAAATGCGTTGACATCAATAAACTTTAGCGAACTGTCACTTTTAATGCTAAATCTATCGATAGTATGCGCACCAAAATCATTTGAATTGATCATGGTGATATTAGTATCGAATAAATTCAGGACAATAAGGGGGTGTTTGTGACTTGATGGTAAACGTTGACTTATGTTGGTGAATATTGGTGCCAACTCGGTGATTCCGGTACCTACGCACCCTATATTTAAATAATCATAACCATAACAAAAACAAAGTGACCTTGCATCATCCGATGGACATGTAGATAATAATCCACTATGACTATGTGCCACAGATATAAGGCATATCAATATATTTAACTTTATAGAAAGCATTTTTAAATAAAATATTTTAAGCGCTAACAATATTTTTGTTTAAATGTTTTATTTTTTATTTCATTTAATTCGTGTGAATTACTATTTATATAAAATATATTTGAACTACGGTTCCCATATTATAGATATGATAATTATTAGTATAACTATTGATAACTATATTCATATAAAGAGTTAATTATGAAATGTTTATAAAAAATATTTCCGTTTTGATTAAGTTATATAATTTTTAAAATAATTACAGGGATTATGAAGTAGCCAGGGGGACATATAGTAAACGGTATGCATAACTATATACAATTATCGCAAATACTAAAAATTTACAAAAAGTTACATTTTCAATTTATATAGTTTAAAATATTATAATTTATTATAATTCAAAAAATATTTTATTTTAACACATTTACTAAAATGTCACATTTTAAATGTGTATACTAATACTGATATATTATTACTTTACAAATATACTCTCTGTTACAGTTTGCAGTGGCAATATTTATGATAAATCTAATCATTACTAATTAGATAACTTTAAAAACATTTTATTCTAATACAAAGAAGTACCATAGAAATTTTGTGTATATTAAATAATTATATAAAGATCAAATTATCTAATAAATAAGTAATAAAACTATTTTTAAAAACATAATTACATTAAGAAGAGGAAATTGAATATTTTTGAAATTTAATTTATTGATCAATTTTGCCATTAATAATGTTTTTAAAATAGAGAGAGAGAGAGAGAGAGAGAGAGAGTTCATAATAAATTACATTTTTTATATACATTCAGTAAATTACTTATTATAAAATGTTTTAAAAATATTTATATTAATATTTTTATATAGAATTCATGTTAATTATTTATTAGCCAAATAATTAAAACATGTAGTATAATTTAAAATTATATAAATAAAATCATTAGTATAGTGTTAAGAAATATAATTTTATTGTCAAATAAGATTAATAAAGGAAATTGTCTAAATAATTTGGCAAAAATAATAAATTTTATGCAAATTGCAATAGATTAATTTATTATGTTTAAAATAATTAATTATGTTTATTTTACTATTAGTTATTAATTTATTTGAATGTATTGTAAAAATAAGTTATTATTGTCCGGATAGAAGTAAAATTAAAATATTTTAATTAAATATATTGATTATGAGTTATTTTACAAAAATTAGTGTAACTACCGTATTTAAACAAATATATTATAGCAAATACTTTATTATTAATACAGTACTATAAATTGTTTATTATTAACGTAAATAATTTTATAAAATTTAAATCACCAAAAGCAAACAGTTTAATTAGTATAAATATCAACTATCTAAGTATTTGATTTTAAAAATATCAAACTTAATTTTTACAAAATTTTCAAACTATTTCACTTCACTATAGAAATATTGTAAACAAAAATAGTGATAAAATTGTGAAAATATATTATTTTTTAAAACTCCTGATTTAAATCCGTTAAAAAGTGTGATAGGTTAGTTGCATTCAGTGTAAAAGCTTAGTTATTAATTATTTCATTGTAAAAATGTAGTTGCATAAAATGCATTACAAATGCAATCATTGACAATTGACTCGAGATAATATATATTTGTAATACGTAAAATGTAATTGACTCTGATTACATTCATTGACAACATTAAGTTATATGGGATTATTATACTATATTGATAAGTTTTATATTCATTCATAACTATTTTATTTATTTACGGCTAAACTATTATGAGCTGTTTCTTAATACTGTCAACATGGGTGACGTCAGTTATGATAATCCAGGTAATAGATTGACAGCAAGAATGTGGTAAAAGATCCGGGTGAAATCGACACTGCAATTGACATCAAATCAGATAACATATGATATTACAAAAAAACTTATTATATAAATACAAGTCCCCGAAAAACATAATAATCCACATTAACCACTAATATACCTAAAATTAGCAAGCGTAATTCACTCAAATAACCCATTTAAATAGCAGTGTCTAATTAAGCAAGTGAAAATCACTACCCAATTAAATACGCTATGAATTATTTGCCAAAAACCGTGTTATTTGTGGCCCTAATCGCCCAAACACTCGCTGCCAGTAAGTGGGGAACAGTAGTCTGTAATCCCGTATAACACTCACTATATATTTGTCTATTAGCGTACGACTGGCCCGACACACCTGGCCATCCGTGTCCGCCGCTAGAAATCGCCCGCACCAAGTGTTTGGCACCCAATGACTGTTTATATCCCAATCCCAGTGATTGCGGTCGTTTCATACGGTGTACCGACGCCTCCATCGCCTACGACACCGCCTGTCCAGAAGGTCTGCACTTTAGTCCGAGCGCTAAGACTTGCGAACCGCCAGAAGTGGCCGGTTGTGTCAA